AGCACTACCACACTGAGCACAGGTGCCCCACAAGGCTGTGTGCTCAGCCCGCTGCTCTTCACGCTGCTGACCCACGACTGCACTGCCAAGTTCAGCTCCAACCACATCATCAAGTTTGCTGATGACACAACTGTGGTAGGTCTCATCAGCAACAATGATGAAACACCCTACAGAAAGGAAGTGGCACAACTGGTTGAATGGTGTGGAGCAAACAACCTGTCCCTCAATGTGAGTAAGACAAAGGAGGTTGTGATGGACTTCAGGAGAAACTCTGTTTACCACCCCCCACTGACCATCGACAGCTCGACTGTGGACAGAGTCAGCAGCACTAAATTCCTGGGAGTGCACATAACAGAAGACCTCACCTGTACCACCAACACTACATCACTCTCCATAAAGGTGCAACAGCGGCTCCACTTCCTGCGCCGAGCCGACGTAAAAGAGCAAGTATCCCTCCACCCATCCTCACCACATTCTATAGGGGAACCATTGAGAGTGTGCTGACCAGCTGCATCACTGTCTGGTACGGGAACTGCAGTGCTGCTGACCGCAAGACCCTACAGCGGACAGTGAACACAGCTGCAAAGATCATCGGTGCCCCTCTCCCCTCCATTCTGGACATTTTCCTTGCACGATGCTCCAGTAAAGCTACCAGTATCGTGAAAGACCCCACCCATCCCTCCCACAGTCTCTTTCAGCTCTTGCCATCAGAAAGACGGTACCGGAGCATCAGGGCCCACTCTGCAAGACTGCTCAACAGCTTTTTCCCCCAGGCTGTGAGAGCCCTCAATTCTAATCACCTCACCCCCCTCTGAAACCTCATCCACAACCCTATCTCCTGAAACCAGGATCCTCTCTCCCCCCTTCACGCCACACCACACCACATGCACCACATGAAAACTGTTGAAAACCTCAAGAAAATTGTACAATTCTGAGTGCTACACACAGGTGAGTGGGCTGGACAAACCACCTGTAGAAAATCGCTCTCTTTCCTCTCTATATGACACTTTCTTATAAACACTCCATGTTACAAGGACTTAATAAGATAACAAATGTTTACTTGTGATTGCACCACAAATCATACTGCACTACTTACTTCTTAACCTTAAATGCCTCTTTTGCACAATATCATGCACAGTCATTATGTAAAGTACTTGTATAGAACACAGCTGCAAAGATCATCGGTGCCCCTCTCCCCTCCATTCTGGACATTTTCTTTGCATGATGCTCCAGTAAAGCTACCGGTATCGTGAAAGACCCCACCCATTCCTCCCACAGTCTCTTCCAGCTCTTGCCATCAGAAAGATGGTAGAGCAGCATCAGGGCCCACTCTGCAAAACTGCTCAACAGCTCCGTATAGTCAACTATTTATAGTATATGTATAGTTAGATTACCGCTTCAGATAGTTAGCTATGTAGGTCTAAAAATTGTTCTTACGTCTAGTGTTGTATGTTTATATTATGTTTATTTATGTAGCACCGTGGTCCTGCGAGACACGACATTTCGTTCCACTGTATGTCCACACATGTAGTGGAATGACAATAAAGCTCAACTTGACTTGACTTCACTTGACTACTCCCTACGAATAAATGTTATAAATATGGTAATATTTTTAGAAAAATGGACTTACACCACTAGACTATGCTGCTTTGGGAAAAGATGTGCGAGTTATTATACTGTTTTTGTTATTGTTTCTATACAATTGGCAATCCAGATTCATCTCTTGTAGACCAGTTTGATTTGATTGAATTGAATTGAATTTTTTTTTTTTTTATGTCAGATTAATCTCCTGAAGACTTTTTTTTTAATTTGAATAAAAATAAAATATAATTCAAATATTATATTATTAATTAATAAAACATTTTATTTTATTCACAGATTCATCTCCTGTAAGCAACATTTATTAATTTAATTCAATTTCATTATTTTGATGTCAGATTAATTTCCTGAATAACTATTTTATTTTATTTTATTTTATTCCCAGATTCATCTCCTGTAAGTCAGATATATTATTTAATTTAAATTCATCTAATTGTGCTTTTTTCGTTTTGTTTTATTTTGATTCCAGATCTCCTGTAGAGCTACTTTTCTTTATTTTATTTTATTTTGATTTCAGATTAATCTCCTGTAGACTTAATTTAATTTAATTTAATTTAGTTTCTCACAGCATTTTGCCCTGTATGTTTTGATTTTGAGATCACATGACCAGATAAACACTGCTCAATCTCAGTCACTCTTATCAGACACCCTCTCCTGTCAGAAAATGAATTATGGCTCATTAATGCAGATGTGAGTGTGTGTGCGAGTGTGTGTGCGCGTTTTTGTGACAAATGAGGACATAAATTTGTATAATGACAAGGGTATAACATAGGTATTACAAGGAGAAGGTGACTTTTCAGGACATTACCCCATGTCCCCACTTTTCAAAATTCATATAAATCACACAGAATGGAGTGTATTGAAAATCTGAAATAGCACAAAGTTTCCTGTGAGGGGTAGGTTTAGGGGTAGGGTTGGTGTAGGGCAATAGAATATACGGTCTGTACAGTATAAAAACCATTACGCCTATGGGATGTCCCCACTTTTCACAAAAACAAACCTGTGTGTGTGTGTTTGTGTGTGAATGACATCCAGAAGTGAAGTTCAGTGTCAGTATAAAGTCCAAGATCACTGTCAGAAAAAGCTGATTCACCTGATGACTGTCATGGACTGAAGCGCCAAGATCCAGATCTCCTTCCAGAAAGGGATCTTTGGGGAAGGACTGCAAACAGTAGAGACATGGTTTCAAATAAGATCAATTCAAATAGGTTTGATCAATGAATATGATCATGATATGTCAAAACAGCCCAAATCTTGTAGCTTTACATTCTTTCCGTTGATCATTTGAATATATTTTCTGGTCTCTCTTCACTCCTGTACATACGGTTAAAATGTCTGCAAAAGGCCAATGAAAATACCTTTGATTCCATCAATGGAGGACCATTCACTGATTTCAGACCAACTGCAAACGTATCCTAAAGAAATCAGCAGAGCAGTTATACTTTTATAGTTTTTATTCATATTACTTATTTTTATATCTTCTGTTTTCATTTTCATTTTAGTAAGTACGTTTTAGTAATGTTTTGTCTGTTTTTGTATATAACATTATTATATATTGTATATTGTTATAGTTATACAGTATATATATTTAGTAAGGTTTTGTCTGTGTGTATATATATATATATATATATATATATATAAGTTTTAGTTGATAAAAACCCTGGAGCAAAGGTTAAAAGATGTGGATTAAAACATAAAAATAAAAAAAATAGCCAAAAGCTTTGATTAATTTTAGTCCTGAATGTCTTAAGAACCGCTTCCGGTTGGTTTATGAATTCAAAATCCAGGCTTTAAATCTAAAGCACACATTATATTTCCAATAAACATGCAAACACAGAATATATTACCTTTGATGGTCGGTGTGGCACAGAAGGCTTGAATTTCTGTGGCTGCTTCTGTAAAAATATAAAATAAAATAATAAGTAACTAACTAAATAAATAAATACATTTTAGAGAGCAGACACTGAGTTCAAATCACAGCAGACTAAAAATCACTGCAAAAGAAAAATATTGTGTGTTTGTACTGGTTTGCAGTCCACATCTTCTGCTTTCTTCTCTCTCAAGGCCACGAGATCAGCATGTTTCCATGAGGACGTTAAATCATCCTAATATGACAATTAAATGTGACGATTAAATCAACTGTTGCTCATCTCTAACATCAATAAACTGATTCCTGAAATGAACAAACCTTATAGTCTGGAGCTTCAGCAGATTTCACCTGGAGATGTAAATGAATATCATAATCGTGAACGATATCACGTGTTAAAGTTGGCTTGACAAAATAATGGCACGTATTATAAATTACTGGCAGATAGTTTTCCCATCAGCCAGTAACTATACATTCTGTGCTGTAGAACAAAATGTGAAAGGATCTTTCAGTACTTTTATTGACACAAATTTCAAAATCTCATCTCTTTCGCTCTCAGATGAGAGTTATACTGTAGCTTAATGTGGTAATTATCTATCTGAAGTAATGTATTGCACTTTAAATACCAGAAATGGTAAATGAAAGTGTTAAATGAAAATTATTGACAGGTTTATTATAATAACAGGGTTCGTACAGATACTGTACAATGAAATTCCAGGACTTTCAATGACTTTTCAAGCACTACTTTTTTTGGTTTTCAAACAATATCTTATCTTTCAAATTCTAAAAAAAGATAAATAGATCAATAAACATATAGGGTACACCGGGGCTAAAGGTGCCCCGGGGTAAAAGGCGCCTTTGATATTATTTTCATCTAAACCACTAGATGGCACAAAAACGTGGCGTAGCACTTTCCAAAACATCCGCTTTTCAAGATGCACGTGTATATTTGTCTGATCCTTGACGCGATCGCGCGCAGCAGCGCAAAGTTGATTCTGTGCTTACTTGATCTAATATTTGATGGGTTTTTTTTGTAAGTTGTAGATTTAAGTAGCAAATTAGAATTGCTAAAATTAATGCATATATATTGAGACAAAGGTCTTTATGATTTTCACTTATGATAATTAAAGCAACAGTTTTTAAATAACGAAAGAATATGTAAAAGTATGGAATTTGGGGTAAAAAGTGCCCCCGCTGTTGGGGCTAAAGGCGCACAGTAATTAAATACATGATAATTAATAGATGGCTGACTTTTTCATTTGTTGACATTCAGATGGTAAATATCATATATTATGTTGGGTGTCCATATTAGAGATAATCACCATGTTTAGAATGAAACCATCATATTTAAAAACATGATATTAATCATATCATATAATAACATATAATTTGTTGCTACTGCTGTAAATATATATTCAATTATCATTGGATCTCCTTCAATACTTTCAGAATCTTTAATTATTAAAATGATTTTGTTTCTGTATTTAAAAAAAATATATATTTTTATATTAACATATTTTAATGACAGTATATTTATTGAACAAAAAATAATTATTTTATTTTTCCAAAAAAGCAGAAAATAGTACAAACTTTGCTAAAGTGATTGTTTTGAACAAGTAATAACTTAGACATTATTTTAAAAAATCAACATTATTTTAGCTGAAGTATTTGTATCAATACTGTGGGCCTTTTACCCCGTGCATAAAAGGCCCATCTTGCCAACTCATACATTAATAAGATTTTTAAACAAAATAAACAACTTGAATGATTTATTTTCACACAAAATCTGTTGCTCCGTTAATGTTCAATACAAACGTATATATATTATTTTCTGCAATTATACATTTTAGGCGCAGTGAAAAGCACATTTTTTCTTTTTGGAGTGCCTTTAGCCCCGTTGAACCCTACTAATAAAACAAAATGGCCAAAATAAAGTTGAAGCACATGCAAAGTAGGCTATGCAATGACGTCAACATTAAAAACTGGGAACATTAAAAAAGGCCTAAAATTGATCAACCACTTCAGTGAAGGTTACATAGTTACGCCAGTAGGTGGCGGCAAGGGAATGACTTTAAAAGCGAATTAGTACTCATTCAAAAGTGAAGTAAGGTTTGTAAACAAGGAAATTCTTTGAACAACACGGACATGCAAAGCTGAGTCTGACGAAAGAGATCAAAGCATTGCAGCGCTGAAAACCCCTTTATTATGAAGTTATCATCGCTTTCCTCATTCAGACTGATTCTTTTCATACACGCCCTGCTGAAAAAAAACAGCATATGCTGGTTAGGTATGTTTTGACGCTGGGATGCTGGTTTAAGCTGGTCCTTTGCTGGTTTAAGTTGGCCCTTTGATGGTTTAAGCTGGTCCTTTGATGGTTTATGCTGGTCCTTTGATGGTTTATGCTGGTCCTTTTGCTGGTTTATGCTGGTAATGTGCTGGCTTAAACTGGTCCTTTGCTGGTTTATGCTGGTCCTTTTGCTGGTTTAAGCTGGTCCTTTGCTGGTTTAAGCTGGTCCTTTTGCTGGTTTATGCTGGTCATGTGCTGGCAAAGGAGCAGCATCCCAGCGTCAAAACATACCTAACCAGCATATGCTGTTTTTTTCAACAGGGATATGATTGACCTGAACAATGAAAGCTGAATCACATATATGCAAATATGCGATAACGCGCACAGTATTGACTTCCAGAGAAACAAGTGCAAAAACCATCTTGAGAATTTTGTCTTTGAACTTCCGCTTTTGCGAAAGCTCTGTAGGCTATATTTCTATAGCCGTGTTCGAACAGTATTCGTTTCTCATGCATTTGTCAAACCGTCCGACTCCACATCTGTGAATTTACAAGAAGAGACCAATACAAACTTCACTGCTTTCAGAGCGCTGTTGAGCTTCGCTGTAAATTGCACACATTTTAAAGGTACATTCATCATGGAAATGCTGGAAAGTGTTTACAAGAACAATATTTAATCACCACAGTGAGTGGAGGCTGTTAAGAACAAAAAGGAGAAAGAGAAACCAAGCTATGCTTTCGTCATGTAGAAACAAGAGGCTGCATTAACATATTCCTGCTTATTTCCCCCATTTTTAACATGATTTTGAGATAAAACGCAAGACAGAAAACCATTTTATCTATAGCGCGTCTATCTTCCTATTTTTAAATAGGAGATTTAATAATTAAATATTAAATAGGATATTATTATTACATTACATATGACTTTATTCTCATTATTCCAAGCATGTGCAATTTTATTTGCAGCACATCCCAATCATGCGACTGACCGCGCGTTCCCACAAAATAAGAATAAATCGCCACCAGAAAGCTTGAGTTTTATCAGCGAGGTGCCATGCACATTTTTACAGACGTCCACATGAGAAACACGTCCGAATAGGGCTTATGGCATCCTGACAGCACACGTCCATCACAGAGACGTCTGTTTGACCTCTGCATTACATCTGCAAGACGTATTTTTTGGAGTGTTTGCTCATCTGCAATTCGTCTATAGGACGTTTCCTATCAGATGTCAAATAGACGTTTAGAAGATGTCTTTCTGATTTAGAATGCATGTAAAACTGAGATCTTAAAGACGTCTATCAGATGTTTGTACACAGCAGATGCTTTCCAGATGAAGAGATCTTTAACAGACTTCTCGCAGATGTACATGTGTTATCTGGGTAAGCGCAGCTCTGAAAAGGGGTGGGGCTACACAAAGTCTACATCAGCGTTAACTTTGTGTGAAAAGATGTGTGTTTATTGAAAATAATTAAACACTTATGTCATATATGCAGCCTTTCAATAATTTTAAGCACTTTTCAAGTACCGCTTCAGGAATATTGCTATTTTCAAGGGTTTTCCAGGCCCTTTTTGAACTTAAAGCACTTTAATCACCTTGTACGAACCCTGTAATAATAATTACAAATATTGTGTCCAAAAAATGGACATGAGCAGACTAGACTTTTGTCTTAGGGTTAAAGTAAAGCTGCTGGAAACATTAAAATAAAATGGGTTACAAGAGATGGATCTGGAATTAATATAATACAATAAAAAATAAATTAAAAAAAATCAGAATGAGACCTGGAGTTGAGTTAAGTTAAGTTATATTATTTTTGGGAAATACTGCAACGCATTTAATACATTCTATTATTTATATATTATGCATACAATACATTATATTATCTTACATATTATTTATAATGTAATGTATAAATTTGAAATTTATACATTATGCATTTATAAATGATAAATTACTAAATTAAGTATTATATAATGCATATATATTATATAATACTTATTTAATGTTTTAAAACAAATTTTTAATAAAACTTTAATTAAAAATATTTTAAATTAAAATCATTTTATTATTTGAAAGGTAAAAAGTATGAAGATCATTCTTTGTTTTATGAAGTAAATATTATATTATAACTCTTTTATTATTATTATTTTATTATTTTTTTCAAATAGCGTTATCGGTCCACGCAGATCATGTTTTACCTTCGAGCCTCTGCGGTGTGTAATAATCTTGGGTTTTGACGGTTTCTTCTGTTCAGAGAAAAAAAATCAATCTGCTATGAAATACATAAATCTGAAACTATAATGATTCAGAAATAACGAGCTTCATACCGATTTGTACTCGGCAGCTTCATTCTGCTCTTCTTCTTCTTCATCTGGAGCCAAAAACTCATCCGTGCCGTTAATGAGCTTCAACACATTACAGAAATCATTACAGAAAGAATGAATATGATCTGCAGATCAACAAAACAAACACCCGACTCTGACAGTTATCTGAGGTTGAAGATATTCACCTTTGAGCCTCGATTCGTCTCGGAGCTCTTCACTTCATCTCCAGGTTTATCCTGAAATCACAGACATTGAGTTTTTATGTGTCATTTCTTTAATGGTATAATATTTTTCCCCAGGTTAACATGCAAAAAACAAACAAACAAACAATACTATAACTATAATTAAGCCATTCAGTGATTCTGCTGCTGGACTGGTCATTTGCAACTGTGAGATATAAATGTGTAATTTTGACTTTCTCTTTCGCAATCATGCAATTCTGAGAAATTAGCAGCCTTTTGTCTTAGGGCTAAAGAGCGCTGGAAAAAGTACTGGAAACATTAAAATTAAATTGGTGTACAGGAGATGAATCTGGAGTAAAATAAAAAAAAATAAAAAAAATGGTGTACAGATGATGAATCTGGAGTAAAAATAAAATAATAAAAGAGAAATTGGTGTACAGATGATGAATCTGAAATAAAATAAAAGTTGGAAATATTGCAATATATATAATACATTTATATTATAATGTATAAATTACAATAGATACATAATTATACATAAAATTATTATAAATTATAAAAATATATAATACGCATTTCATTTTTAATAAAATAATTTATAAATAATTATTTAAAAATACAAAACATATTGTATTTATAATAAATTATTTTATCTTTAAATTATTACAATTATTGTAATTGTATGATGACTGTAATCGTAATGTTTTACCTTAGAGCCTAATTCTGAGTTTTTATTTTTTTCCCGAATTGTGAGTTTTCATACATTATGTTGTTTTTTAGGATTAAAAGAATTGTTCTTAAACTTAACTGATAATGTCCTGACAGACAATTACCAGCATCTTTTTATTAATTTGAATTGAATTTAACAGATTTTTAATTTAACATCTTTTGCATTGTTCAGATTATTTTGCAGTGTAGTGGCGGATAAATCTCACACTTCTCCTTCAGCAAGCGTCGTTATTTGTCTTGATTTACCTTTGAGCTCCTCCTGATCAGCAGCGAGTGTCTCAGTTTCCTTCCCAGAGTCTGAAAGATCAGCAGAGATGCACAAGCACACGTGAAGGAGGACAAGCACACGCTCAGAGTCACGCTGAGGTCGCGGATTCACATCGTACCTGCTTCCCGTTCCTCTTCAGATCAGCGCCTCCATCAGACGCCTCTGTAATCTAGAGCCAGAGGTCAACAGTGTTATGAGAGAGATCTTTAGTTAGCTCGTGTGTTCTGGGCGGCTGCCAGGACATTACTGTGTGTTTGCTAATGTGTTCAGTGCATTTTAGTGCATTTCACAACCTCTTCATCTGAAACACAGCAACAAAAGCTCAAAGAAAATACAGACTACATGAATTAATCTGCACTGTGCTGAGGATAAATATGCCGACCACAATGTTTTGTAAGGTTAATTATTGTAATGTAAATTAAATGTAATGTTTTTACAAACTTTATTTAATTTTTTTGGTTAAATTATTTAGGTCTACATTTGGGAAGTTTGGAACTACATCATTTATTTTATTAATATTTAATATTTTATATTCTATTTAAATTTAATATGATGATTATTATTATTAAATTGAATTGAAGTTTTAAAAAGGTTTATTTGTTTGTTTGTTTGTTAAATGATTTTGGTCTCCATTTGAGAAGTTTTCACTACATCAGTGCTATTTTAGCATTATTTATATACTATTATAGTTTTTACTAATATTTTATATATTAGATTCTATTTTTATATATTTTCAGCTTTCAATTTACCATCAGTTTTCAAATTTACCATTTTGTTTTTACCATCAAATGATTGATTTAATCAATCGCTTATTTATGATTATTACTATTATTAGTATTAGTATTTTATTTTCATTATGTTTTTTTTTATTATTACTCATCAATTTAATTTTATTCTTTTTTTTTTGTTATGTGCTTTTGTCAGTTTTTATTTGCATTTTTTTATGTTTATTTTTTTTCTTCAATTTTCAGGGTTATTATCAATAACTAAAACTAAAATGATAAATGTGTCACTTGAATTAAAATAAACATTATATTAACTATAATAGTATATTAAAATATTAACTATAATACTACATTGATAATAATAAAATAACACGGGTTTAAATTCTAGTTTTTATTGATTTCCAGTTAGTAATTTTAGTGCTTCAAGTTTTCCTAAACAAACATGAGAAATGTTGCCTTGGAATAACTAGTTCACCTAATATTTGCAATAAATTGTATTTCAGCTTTATTTCAGTAACAGACAGAGCTGTGATCTGAAGGAAGGACTCACCCGCACAGAGTCTCTCCGAAGCCTGAGCTTGCCAGCCTGCAACAGACACAGAGCATCTCAGTGTTTCTGTGCATCGGTGTGCTGTACTACAGTTCAGATAATCAGAGAGAACTTACTGGTTTCCATTCTGGAGAAAGTTCTGGACTGTGTTCAGGCCAGTCCTCCACACACCTTTCCTGTAAATCATGTTTGAAGCATGCAGGTGTATGTATAAATAATGCATAACAACGTAATATGAATCCACATGAGGGTGTTTCTTCCACTACACGGGGATTTTTTTATTTTTAACTCACAATAAACTTTTTCCTTGTTACATGAAGGACCAGTTAAAACCTGTCCTGGAGACTTTTCAACCTGCCTTTATTTTTTTCTTTTCTTTTCTTTTCTTTTCTTTTCTTTTCAATTAATTAATTAATTAATTAATTTTTTTATTAATGTCTTTTATTTACAGAATTGTCAAGTTATGCAAAATATATACAAATTCTAAGGAAACCATATTCTACAAATGTTTATATCATTATTTTTATATAAATAAAAAAATATTATTTTTAATTAAATAAATACATATTTGTATTAAATGATTTATATATTATTTCATTTTATTTTTAATTAATTAATTAATTATTATTATTATTTTTTAATAAATGTCTTTTATTGACTATTCTACAAATGTTCATATCATTATTTTTATATAAATAAAATGCATTATTTGTAATTAATTAAATAAATAAATACATATTTGTATTAAATTATTTATACATTATATATATTTTTTTTTCTCCCAAACCAACTAAAACTTGTAAACTTGAGATTGTAAAATGATGATTGAGGAAGAAAAAACTCGGCAAAACCAGGCTGTAGCTGGTGAAACACCCTCAGAAACACAGGGACCGGCTAAAATGCAGCACACAAACCTGACCGATGAGAAGAACGTCCTCATAAACCGGCGGATCGCTCTCCATCGCAGCCGTCGTGATCTGACAGATCATAACAACACGCTTCATCACAGCGTCAAGCACAGAGAACATTTCACAAACAGTCTGGAGTCTTATAGTGTAGACATCAGCACACAGACGGCGCGTAATAACACATGAAGATTATTACATTCACTGTTAGTTCAAACATGCAATAATCCCCACAGAGTGGGGAAAAATACATACAACGTACATAAAATGCACACGATTTCATCGTGGATTGTGAAAATTGGGTGTTTCATATCAGAATCAGAGACGACTTTTCCTGCTTTGTTGTGATTACTGGACAAAGATGAACTATTGTCAAGATTTTAGAAAGATTCACCTAGATTTGACTATTTGACCTTTAACCAAAAGCACACAGCCTGAGACGAAACACCAGCAGAAGAAACCTGCTTCAAAGGCAGAGCAAATGACTGACATATTTTGAAAACAAACATCTTTATTCTTTAGAATAATATTTACTGATAGATTGTGCACACAAAGACCAGAAAAGTGCTTAAATAAAACAATAAAAGCAAATATGGTACAGATTTACTTCATGTTGATATTAAATTTGGATATTTATAAATTAAATTTAATTCTGAAATGGATAATTTAAGAAGTCATGAAGGCTAGTACAACTTTAATAATGATTTGTACAATAGTTGATAAAAAAATTAATTATATTTTACCATTCAATGATTTAAATTCACTTATTATTATTATTTAAATTCACTTGTTTATTATTATTATTAGTAGTAGTAGTATTTAAATAATAATATAAATAAATGTATTTGTATAAAAAAAATATATACTGCAAGGAGGAATGGCAGAGGATCCCCAAATCCATGTGTGAAAAACTTGTTGCATCTTTCCTAAAAAGACTCATGGCTGTATTAGATCAAATGGGTGCTTCTACTAAATACTGAGCATTTTTCAGTTTTTCTTTTTTAATAAATCTGCAAAGATGTCAACAATTCTGTGTTTTTCTGTCAATATGGGGTGCTGTGTGTACATTAATGAGGAAAAAAAATTAACTTAAATGATTTTAGCAAATGGCTGCAATATAACAAAGAGTGAAAAATTTAAGGGGGTCTGAATACTTTCCGTACCCACTGTATATATAAATTATTATTTTTTTGTTACTTGCTTGTCATGCCCCTTTTTTATTTCTCTCTGTACTACACCTTTAAGCTTATACAAAATATAGCAACATAAAAAAAAATAAATAAAAATCAAATACTTACAATCAACTAGATACTGTAAAAAAAAAATAATAATAAAATAAAAAATTTCTTTCCTCTACAGTTTTGTTTTGTTTTATGCAAATGGACATTATATTGTATTTGCTTTTCCGTGTTTGCATGTCATGCTTTTGTAGCAGTAAGAAAAGACGAGGTGAAAAGCAAAGAAGAGAGAGAAAGACGAGATGATGAACTAGTCTGGATCTGATCTGAACACCAGCAGAAGAACGAGTGGCAGCACAAAACTGAAGATTCTCATCAGAGACAAACATCAGCTAGAGCTCATCTACGAAAGGGATAGCAGTGAAACTGAAGAGAGCTAGAGTACCTGAGAGAGAGCAGGAGGCTGGAGGAGGCTCTTCGGGGGTTTACTGCGAGGACCAGCTTTGGGCGGACGCCTCCTGAACATCTACAAGAAGAACATATTATAATAAGGTCTAATAAAGCCCTAAAGAGCCCATGAAATGATCTGATGAGCGCAGGTTTCCTTCTGTGTCGATGTGCACCACCAGGCAAACGTTTGTCAACAGGAAGATGTGTTTTAAAGAAGTCTCTTCTGCTCACCGAGACTGCATTTATTTGATTAAAAATACAAAAAATACAGTAAAAGTTGTGAAATATTATTATAATTTAATACAGCTGTTTTCTGTGTGAATATGTGTTAAACTGTAATTTATTTCTGTGATCAAAGCTGTATTTTCAGCCTTCAGTGTCACGTGATCTTCAGAAATCATTCTAATATGCTGCTTTGCTGCTCAAGAAACATTTCTGATTATTATTATTAATAATAATATTTAAAAAAAAAAAATTTCAGGATTCTTTGATGAATAGAAAGATCAGCATGTATCTGAAATAAAAAGCTTTTGTAACATTATACACTCTACCATTGAAAAAGCTGGGAGTCAGTATAATTAAAAATTAATTAAATAATTAATTGAATTAATACTTTTATTTAGTAAGGACGCTTTAAATTGATCAAAAGTCATGATAAAGACATTTAGAATGTTACAAAAGATTTCTATGTCAGATAAATGAACTTTCTATTCATCAAAGAAACCTGAAAAAATTCTACTCAACATAATAAAAATAATTTGAGCAGCAGATCAGCATATTAGAATGATTTCTGAAGATCATGTGACACTGAAGACTGGAGTAATGATGCTGAAAATACAGCTG